AAAAAAAAAAAAAGACTACCATGAAAATTAAAGCTGCAAAGAACAACCTGATTCTTCTCTCCTATACCCTCTATTTTCCTTGGACTCTTCAAAACATCTGGAAAGGGTAGTGTTACCTAGCTCCACTGGGAACCCTTGGTGGTCCTGAAAGTAATTGAGCAGGCTGGTTCCAGGTGGTAGTGCTGGCAACCCTTGTGGAAGTCCAGGTGGTTGCCATCTTCCCAAGAGATGTGCTGTAGGTCAGAGAGTGAAGAAGGCTGATGGAAGAAGAGGCAGGGTGTGAATTGCCTTTGGTCAGGAGTGGCAGTGGATCTCTGCTYTGGCCACTGAAAACTCTGTTGCCTCAGTGGATGCAGCCTTGGAATGAGAGCAAGGGCGTCTATGAGCTTCTGAGCATGATAATCATGAGCCCCTCACTTTGGTGATTTAACGGGGCAAGGTRTGGGGGGGAATGGAGATCCTAAAGCCTGAATTCAACACCAAGGAATTACACAATGAGATAGTGTTCTGAAAAATACTTGCTTGGGAGTTAACTTTAGAGCTATGTAACRTTTATTATTTGCTTCAATCTCTTTAAAAGTTCAAAGCTCTTAAGAAATGTTTGCCATATTAATTGTCAAAATTTGGTTTTTCAGTGTATGAATAAAATAGTTAATGATGGAATTGACTGGCAGAATTCTTCCAAGTCTTGGATACCCTGCTTATTGTTAGTTATTAACTTCAATTTTCTCTGTATCAAAGTGGGGGTATAGACTTCTGAAGAGAAAGATGCATTTTGGACATATGCCCGAATTAATGATTCGTGACCATGATGGAATGAARAAAGTTAAAACTCTGGTTTTGTAGTGCAACACTACCACTTAAGTAATGATTTGATCTGTAATGCTTAAAACGTGTTACAGAACTTCACTGAGGGTCATGAGGAGCTGMGATAAAATGATGTGTTCAGGATCATCAAGCAGGTTGCTGACAGAGACAGTAGAGAGCTCCAGATCATCCACTGTTACTAGGGTCAACGTGCTGGTGGATTCTGCTGCTTGGCTCTTGAATAAGTCATATTTGCCCAGTATTTGTCCCAATGTTATTACAGTTTAATTATATTTAAGTGKTTTTTTTTGTTGTTGTTTTTTCGGTCAAGTTTTCAGTCTTAGACTTGGGTCAAATTTCACAACTTCTTTTACTGATTTCACTGATTGCAAAAATAATCAATAACCAGTGTAGTGTCTTTTTGCATTTATTTTTACAAAAGATTTATCTTTTAGTGAAAATGCAAATCAGAATTTTGTCTGAGTTAATTCCATATAACCTTCAGACCATACTGTTATCATTAAGAGAAATATTTGGTCTTGGGTAACTTAGAGCCCAACAAGTGGTAAACTAGGATTTAGAGGCATACATTTATTTTCATGCAAATTAAAGTACTAACATACCTTAAAGACAGGCAAACAGGGGAAAAAAAGAAAAGGAGAGAGGAAAAAATTCTCATGAAGTTCATTCCTGTGGTTGTTTTAAAAAACATTGTTTCCTCTGAGTTCATTTTGAAGCAGAGATGCTAAATTTGGTTGTTTTTCTTCTAAATTTTTCTCATTTAAGATGTTACATGACATAATTCATGTGGTCAAGCCACAAATATGTGGACTTCTCATTAAAAAAAAAAAAAAAAAGGCTGTATTTTTGCTGATTTTTGCTGTGGCTACTCATGAGCATCTCCTACCCAGATTTTAACTGTATAGAGATTTAGAGATTTTAAATTTTTCATCAACCTTAATATTTAGCACTGTAAACCCATTTTGAAGAGAAAATTGTATACGTGATTTCCACCTGTGGCAGTACATCTGTCATCCAAAAGCATCACAGTGGCTCCTAATGTGACCATGTAATCATTC